GCCTAATAAATTGTTACATCATCTGCTGTCTCTGCTCTGGGTTTCTGCACCTGAGTCCTGTTCAGTACAGGCCACTCGGCCCCGTGACATTTTGGTTTCTTCGGTTCTGAATTAAGGTGTGTTTGTGTTCATTTAGAAATGAGGAGTTCCTCCTAAAAAGGACCATTGTGTGAGGCCCTGGAACACCACAGACCGAAAAAGTTGGAGAGGCCGCCTGCCGCCCGTGGTCATTGGTTAAGAGTTGAGAAATGAGGAGAAAGCTCACAGAAGCAGTACATCTTATGTTCAAGTCTCTGTCTGAGTGGTTGCTGCTCCTTCTTTAAGCAGCAAGTCAGGTGGAGTGTCTCTGCGTGTCGCTGACTTCACTGCCTGACCGCACACACCTGTTTGACCTCACACACCTGCTAGATCACACATACCTGTCAGAACTCACACAACTGTAATTAATGTGGAACTATTGTCTCTGTTTTTGGCTGCTCACCTGGTTTGGTGCACTCACATACACCTACCTGTTTGGAAAAGTGTACATCTACAGGTGGTAAGTCAGCTGTTTATAGTAAGCAGTCAGTGAGCTGATTGAAGTTGCTGTGAGCAGTGATGCTCACCCTTCCTGTCTCTTTTTTCCTGACATCTGTCAGTTCATCATTTTTCAGATTTCATGTTTCACAATAAATAAATTAGAATTTTGTTCTGCTTTGATTGATTTGTCTTTGTTTCCAGTATCCAGTTAGTTTATCCCTCGCTGGGCATCACCCTGCCTTCCTCTTCCTTCTCACTCAGTAATGAAAATGATTTCATTTGTTTTCAGGAGAGTACAGATAAAAGCAGATTGGAGGTTTTCATTAAAAACACGCAGAGCTCCAAATGCTCAGGAAAAAAATGATTTCAGGTCAGTTTTTATTTCCTGATTGTTGCTCCACTTTCTCACACAGATTTCAAATGGAATATTAACACTGTGTGTGTGTGTGTGTGTCTGTGCGTTATGTAACGGCCCAGCTCTCAGCTGTGATGTTCGGAGGATGACGAATCGAGCTGGATTCTCCTCAGAAAGCCTCGGCAGCAGCTTCCTGTTCCCGACCTTATCGTCCTTCAAAACTTCAATAAAACATCTGCAGCAGCTGCTTCTGCTCCTCCAGATGCCCAATAATAAATACCGATCAATACACCTGTGATTAATACAAACAGGAGAAGGAGGGAGGCTTTATGAATCTCTGATAACAACAGGAAAAATTGTGATCAGGAGCCACTTTTATTGTGAAGGTCAGAGAATATTATCATCAAAGCCACCAACAAACAAAAAAATAATTAAAATGATCATCAATGGAGACACTGAATAAAATGAATAAAATTAAGTAAATAAAACAAGTTGTTAAAATAAATAAACAAACAAACTGAATCTGCTCCTCTTCTCTCCACTCACCACCTCCTCTGTCTCTTTGACCTCCCCCTTTTCATTTCCTCCTCTGCTTCTCCTCTCCCTCCCTCCCTCTCTCTCTTCTCCTCTGCACCTCCTGTTTCTGGGACAGCGCTCCCCCCCTCCCCTCCGCTCCTTAGTCTGCTCCTCCCTCAGTCTCCTGTGAGCAGCAGGAGGAGCAGCAGCCTCCTCTCGTGTTTGTCGGAGCAGCAGGAGTCAGCGGAGGAGCGATGCTGAGCGCGCGGCAGGATGTCTCTCACCTCCTCCTCCTCCTCCTCCTGCCTCCGGACTCTCCGAGCATTCCTCCTCCTGCAGCTCCTCCTCGTACCGCCGTGCCTCCTACACCCGCAGCCGTGCCGCCTCCTGGCGCAGATCGGCCACTCCGTGCGCGTCGGTGCGCTCCTGCCGGCGCAGCGGGCGGCGCGCGTACAGGTCCAGGCGGCGCTGAGCCGCGCGGCGGCCGCGGTGAGCCGGAACCGGGAGCTGGAGCGGGACCCGGAGCGTGTGAACTTCCTGCCCTACAACCTGAGCCTGGAGCTCGTGCCCCGGCAGTTGACCGCCGCGGACCCGGAGTCGCTGCTCCGCTGCGCGTGCCAGGGCGTGGTGGTGCAGGGAGTGTCCGCCGTGCTCGCGTTCCCGCAGAGCCGCGAGGAGCTGCTACAGGTGGACCTCACCGCCTCCTCCCTGGAGATCCCCTTCATCAGCGTCCTCCAGCACGGAGAGCCGCTCCGCACGCAGGTAAGAGCTGCGCCTGCGCGAGCCCGCACCTGGACCCTGGGCACGTGTTTCGGAACCGCCCGGAACCGCCCGGTCCGAGTCCCCGGTTTGACCTTGACCTGTGTGACGTCCGGAGGTGTGTCGGGGGGTGGGGTGGGGGGGGAGTGCGCTTGCGCGTATGTGTGCGTTTGCTTATTTGCTCTCATGGATTCACTTTGAAGCTTCAACAACTGAAGAACAGGGAGGATAATGTGGAGGAGGAGAACAGAGAACAGGGAGGAGAACATGGGGGAACAGAAAGGGAGTAGCAGAGAAACCATCTGAGGTTGAATAACTGAAGCTCAGGTTAGGTGGAGCTCAGGTGTGTAACAGGTTGAATGAGAAAAATCAAAGCTGGTCTAATGTGAGAAGAAGGTCCTGCAAGTCGAGACTGGACCGATCAGATTTATCAGTTAAGAGAGACAGAATGTTTTCCGTGGATGTTTCAGGAGAAGTTGGTTTGATGAAGTCTTTAGGTTACCATAGAAATTAGTTCTGCCCAAGGTGACGGTGGTGGCACCTTGGTGCTGACACAGTCACATCTAAAGCATTATTTAATTCTGGTTTCCATGAAGATGATGTTTCATCATCTTCACAACCACGAGAGGTCCTTGCGTTAAACTTCAGCTCACGAGCAGGTGATGCTTTGGCCTCTGTTGTGGGCGGAGCGTCACTGTAAGTCTGAAGCCTGAGCCGCATCAATGTTGATACAACGCAGAGAAACGTCTTTTAAACAGAGATGCTGGATTTCCTGTTCTGTTCTCCAGGTGTGGCGTTGATATCAGTAAGTGTGCGGAGGCACTGTGCATGTCACTGCTAATTGAATTAAACTTCAGCAGGGGCGGATCTACAGGGTGGCATGGGGTGGCATGTGCCACCCTAAAATAATCTCGTGCCACCCAAGTTTTGCATATGACAATGTTATTTATTAAAATAAGGTAGCATTACCACTTTGAGCCTGGTTACAATTAACATTGAATATAAATTCTAAAACTACCACCACTAAAAAATGGTCCAGCCCCTAGCCCGAACTGGCTTTATTTCTTGAAGTCAGTAGCAACCGATGCTTATGATTGTGCTAGAGCACATTTTGAATCAAAACTATGGGCATTTCAGATTTCAGCACAGGTGGCTAATTGTTACACTCTGGAAATGGAATGTAGTAACCGTCTGGGGTCCACAGACATGCTGCGTTGCCAAATCACGTGACCAATTTAGGCTGACATAGCTACAAGCTGCAGCCACGCTGAGTCTTTATTTCAGCTTGTGTTGAAAGTTTGGACTTTAAACTATATGCCAATTTTTACGTTTTACTTTTAGGCCACTAAAACCAGAGTTATAAGAAAAAATATATAATTTTCTGAATACTAGCGTCATGTTTTGTGCAGGAAGAAACAGTAAAAACAGGATTTTCTAAGGGCAGCGGGAAAAAAAGAAAAGGAAAAAAATGCCACCCTTTCCTATTGGTGGAAAAGTGTACCACGTCGACCAATAAAAATGACACAGCAACACGTGGGATTTGGTTATTTATGAAGAGGGGAAATTTTTCAGAGTGACGGTGATGAAAGAGAGCGAGAGGGAGCAATGTCGACAGCGAGTTTTGAGATGTGAGAAATTTGTGATGTGTAGCGTGTTTGGAGTGTACTGTTAGTGTGTTGTTGTTGTTTTGTTTTGTGTGTCAGAACAGAGGCGAGTACTGAATGTCACAGTTGGTGCCAAAAACCCTCCATATGCAGATTGCAGTGTAAACGCTGTCTCCAGGTGGGAAACAGAAGTGATACACCTCCTGCTGTCAGGCCTGCAGGTTTCAGACCTGTAGTGTTCCCCTCTCTCTTTGTGTGGCATCTTATTGTGACTCCTGATTGTTCTCTCATTTTAGTTTTGGTATTTATAAACGGTTGTAGAAAAACCGCCTGATGCAGCGGCTGCAATTTTAGGCAAATACATAATATATAACTTTATTGTGTACAACATTTGTGCATAGGTTTTTAAAATGTACAATTTATATTTGCATTTCAAGTTATGAAAATAATTCACTAAACACTTCTGTAGATTTACGGCTTGATTTTGTGTGATTTCAGATCAGTTGGGTTAATACAGTATGCCAAAATGAAAAGATAACTGTAAATTCAGACAAATGAGATTGTACTGAAAAGAATGATACCATGCAAGGCAAGGTGGAAAATTTTAGGGGTCAATTATAAAGATAAACTCAAATTGTAGTCAGCAATGGGCAGTTATATCCTGGAACCCAGAGACTTAACCCGATAAATCATGACAAATTAAGTTTCAATGTTTTGTGAAAAGTGTTTCATGACAGTGCAGATTTCTGGCATTTTGTGTAAATTTAAGTACGTAACAATTTAATTATTTGTAATTTTAAAAAAAGAGTTAGACTTGTGTGTTTGTAAATGAACCACCTTGCGTTTTGTAGCTTCTGGATTTTAAACTTATTGGGCTGCATGCTTACTTATCATCCAGGCTATACAGTACATAACATCAAAATTCACATGTTTTATGTAACTGCAATCTTTAATTATCTGGGCTAAAGAAAACAAAGTTATAGACAATATTTCCATGAGACATGTGTATACTTACTGTATTTTAACCTCATATATATAATGATGTAACAGGATGTAACACCTGTGAGACAAAGGCTTTGATTTTCATACCACCCTAAGAAAATTTCTCAAGATCCGCCCCTGTACTTCTGACAGCCTATCACACAAGACCAAAGCTCAAAGTCCACAACATGCTGTTAACTGAGCTGTGTTCAGCTCAGCTGTGTGGAAATTAACCATAATTTTTGTTGATTATTGATTAGTTTTATTCTAGACAGCTAACTGATCAATCAGCTAATCCGAGGCAGTAACATCAAAGGGTTCATGTTCTTTCTTCCCTGGCTGACTATTCTGAAACAATTAGCAGGTTTTTAGTCTTTATGAAAATATAAATTTTTCTCGATGTGATTTAATTTAGTAGAGGATGCAGCACTTCCTGTGGGAGGGTTTCAGAGTAAAAGCCTAACTGTGGTGATGGGATTAACTGAGCAGAGATTTTCATTTTTAACGCTGAAAACAATCCGGTTAAAGCTGCAACCCAGACACACACACACACACACACACACACACACACACACACACACACAAACCTACTCAGACCAACACACACACACACACTCACACACACATAAACAGACACACACACTTGCTCAGACACACACACACACACACAGACACACAAACCTACTCAGACCAACACACACACAGACACATACACAGACACATACAGAGACACACACAGCTGCCCACACACACACACACACACAGGCACAGACAGACAGACAGACACACACACACACACTCACACACAATCAGACACACACACACACACACACACACACTCAGACACACACAGACACACACAGACACACTCAGACTCACACAAACACACACAAACACACTCAGACACACACAGACACACTCACTCACACACACACAGACACACTCAGACACACTCAGACACACTCACTCACACACACACAGACTCACTCACACACACTCAGACACACTCAGACACACACAGACACACACACACACACAGACACACTCAGACACACACAGCAGCCTTCATCATTCAGGTTTAATCCTGTGACTCAGGTGTTCTACCAGAACCCGTTTTTGTCTCGCACCATCATCATCTTGGAAATGAGCTTCAGTCCTTATTTGCCTCTTTTAGCAGTGGAGACACTGCAGCATCCTTAAGAAATTAAAGGAGATCATGGTGTCCCATAATACATAGCGATGCTCAACCTGATAGCACCACCTGTTGGTGTTTGAGCTGTGTGAAGTCTTTTCAGAGGTTCTCGTTGTAGACTGGAGCTCAGCTCGGTTTTGACATCAGAGATCCCGAAGTTATAATAAAGGAGGATGTGATTGGGCTGTTCTCCTCTGTGACTTCAGTGTGAAGTGATGTTTTTCACCCCACAGTAAGGGCTGATGAGAGTTTGTAGGAGGGTCTGCTTGTAGTTCATTATCACGATGTGGGGAGAAGAGGGAGGAGAGGTGAGCCAGCAGGAGGTGGAGGTACAAGTATGGGTACAGGTATAGGTTCAGGTCCAGGTAAGTACAGATTCAGGTACAGTACAGGTGTAGGCACAAGTATAGGTATAGGTCAGGTTTGGGCAATTTCCAGGACATGAGGGCCAGTGTCCTGCAGGTTTTAGATCTCACCCTGGGTCAACACACCTGAATCACATGATTAGTTTGTTACCAAGCCTCTGGAGAACTTCAGGACATGTTGAGGAGGTAATTTAGCCATTTGAATCAGCTGTGTTGGATTACCTATACCAGGGGTGGGCCTGGAGTTGCCCACCCCTGGTATAGGTACAGCTACAAGTGCAGGTGCATGTAAAGGTACAGGTAGAGGTGTAAGTACAGGTACAGGTACGGACAGACACACACACAAACACATACACACACACACACACACACACACACACACAAGATGCAGGTGCATGTATGAGATGTCTGTTGAAGACTGGGCCCTAGCAGCTGTAGCTTTACTTTATCTGCTGCAGACCAGAAACATCTGCAGCAGATGTTTTTAGCCTGGACACAGTTTACCGTCACATTCTCATCCTTGGCGGCGCACAGACCCGAGTGAGAGGTCAGCGGAAATTACAACAAATTTTGCTTTAAACCGTCCTCCTGTGGCTGGTTTATGTCCAATAATCTGCAGATCTGACTCGACCTTTTCTCTGACGCTTTGAACCACAGTTTGATGCTGAGACACAAACACAGTATTGAGGTAATGGCAGGCTGGGAGCCGGTGTTTGTAGTGATGGAATATAAAACCTCCTTCCTGCTCATTTCTCATACTTAATCAAATTAATCTGTCCTTTATTGATCCGACCTTCAGGTCCAATCATTGGAGCGAAATTGTGAATGTTTAGGAGTTTAGTTCTGATCATTAACTGATTT